AGCCTTCCTTCCGAGGAGTGGCTGGTGGGTTTGAACCACCAGCCTTCTGGTTAGCAGTCAAGTGCTTTAGCTGTTAGGTGGCATCAATTCAGCTCTGACTCATAGGGACACTATGAACAATATAACAAACAATGCCCAGTCCTATTGCATTGTCACAATCATTGTTATGTTTGAGCTCATTGTTGCAACCACCATCATAGTCCTTCATGTTGAGGGTGGTCTTCTTTTTTTTTTTTTTCTGATCCTCCACTTTACCAAGCGTGATATCATTTTCCAAGCACTAGTCCCTCCTCATAACATGTCCTAAGTATGTGATACAAAGTCTCACAATCCTCATTTCTAAGGAGCCTTGCAGCTATACTTCTTCCAAGACAGATTTGTTTCTTCTTCTGGCAGTCCTTGATATATTCAATATTCTTCACTAACACCATAATTTAAAGGCATTGATGCTTCTTTGGCCTTCCTTATTCATTGACCAGCTTTCACATACATGTGAGGTGATTGATGATTTCACATACATGTGAGGTGCACCTTAGTCCTCAAAGTGTCATCTTCGTTTTTTAATACTTTTTTAAAGCAGTATTTTGCAGTGGGTATACCAATGCAATATGTCAATTGGTTTCTTCGTTATTGCTTTCATAGCCTTTGATTGTGGATCCAACTAAAATGAAATCCTTAAGAACTTCAGTCTTTTCTCTGTTTATCATGATGTTGCTTATTGGTCTAGTTACAAGGATTTTAATTTTCTTTATATGTTGAAGTGTAATCTATACTGAAGACTGTAGTCTTTGTTCTTCATTAGTTAATGCTTCAAGTCCTGTCCACTTCAGCAAGCAAAGTTGTGTCATCTCCATATTGCAGGTTGTTAATGCATCTTCCTCCAATCCTGATGCTGTGTTTTTCTTCATATAGTCTAGCTTGTTGGATTGTTTATTATAATATAATTTAATTTACATGCATAAATTCATCCTATTAGACTGTACAGTTCACTGGGATTTATTATAGTCAGAGTTGTGTAACTACCTCCACTATCTAATTTTAGAACCTTTTATCACTCCCAAAAGAAATCCTGCACACATTAGAAGTCACTCCCCATTCTCTCCTTCCCTCATCCTTGGTAATCACTAATCCACATTCTGTCTCTATGAATTTGCCTTTTTTTCTCCCTTTGGACATTTTACATCAATAGAGTCATACAATATGGACTTCTGTAACTGGTCTCTTTCACTTAACATAAAGCTTTCATGGCTCATTCATGCTGTGGCAACCATCACTACTTAATTCCTTTTTATGGCTGAATAATATTCTGTTGGATATATATGCTACATTTTGTTTACCCATTCACCAGTTGATGGAGAGTTGAGTTGTTTCTACCTTTTGGCTATTGTCAATGGTGCTACAGTGAATATTGCTGTATAAATATTTTGTTGAAGATCTGTTTTCAGTTCTTTTGGATATATTCTTAGGAGTAGAATTACTGGGTCATATAGTAAATCTGGGTTTAACTTTTTGAGGAACTTCCAAACTATTTTCCAAAGTGGCTTCACCATTTTACATTCCCAGCAGCAATATATGAGGATTTATCCACATCTTTACCAACACTTATTTTCTTTCAGTCCTCCTGCTGGTGTGAAATGATTTTTGATTGTAGTTTTGACTTTTATTTCCCTTAGTGACTACTGATGTCGACATCTTTTTATGTCTTTATTGGCCATTTGTATGTCTTCTTTGGAGCAATCACATCCTTTCCCTATTTCTCAAAATTAGATTATTTGTCTTTTTATTGTTGAGTTATAAGAGTTACTATATTTTCTGGATACAATTCCCTTATCAGATGTTTGATTTCAAACATATTCTCCCATTTTGTGGATTGTTCTTGCATGTTCGATTATATTTAATTACATTTTAAATATATATTTTGTTGCTCGACATGGACTTTTTTAAACTCAATAAGCTATTATGAAGTAAATAAGAAGCCTGCTAAGGTCATGACAAAGGCAAGTGTTTAATGAGCAGACAAACCAAATTACATGTATATATAAGGTGCCTATTGATCTAAACATAGATTAAACTAGAAGCAAGGTGCTTCACGAGCTCTTGATTGGTAAGAGATCATCATAGAACTGAAACATAGAAGAGGACTTGTGATTTTCTTTTTCTTCTGCTTTATTATGTAATAAAGAAATACACAATCCAAGCTTTAGAAAATTAATTCAGGAGTGCTAGAAGGGAAGAACAGCCTACTCTCTAATTAAATGGTCAGAACTAGTGAAACTGCCTCTGCCTTACAAGTTATCTTTCTTTTTGTTATTATTCATTAATTTCTACTTGATCAATCATTTTTAAGTCCCTAATATATCCAAGTTTGTTTTCAATATTAGAAGACTGAGGAATCTCACCTGGAACACATAGAAATGTGCTACCAAGTTCCTGGGGGCAGGGCGACTGATACAAGTAATCATGGATTTCCTTTATAAAAAAAATGGAGCCCTTATCATGTTCTAGGCATTGGGTCAGGAAATGGGAACACAAGAAAGAATAAAGCAGATAACTGCAAATAAAGTAATGATATGTTCACATATTGTGGAAATAGCTAGAATGAAGCAACTCCAGCTAGAGGTAGAGGCTAGGAGTTAGACAAACCTCCAAATTCATTAACTTATGAAGCACTCTCACTTTCATTCCACAAATATTTATTGAGTGATTGAGCATATAATATGCAATAGGCATAGCATGGCAATAAGTACAGGAGATGATACAATCTAAGAACTCACACACTAGAGGAGATGACAGAAAAGTAAATGTAGTGCCGTCTAACACATGCTAGACTATAAGTTCCATAAGACCGGAGATCTTGGTTTTGGTCACAAATGTATGACAAATGAAGGAGCTCTGGTGGGGCAGTGGTTAGGACATTCGACTGCTGACCAAAAGCTTGGCAGTTTGAACCCACAGCCTCTCTGAGGGAGAGAGATATAGCAGTCTGCTTCAGTAAAGATTTACAGCCTTGGAAACCCAATAGGCCAGTTCTACTCTGTCCTATAGAGTTGCTGAGTCAGAATAACCTCGATGGCAGTGGATTTTTTTGTTTGTTTGTTTCCTTCATTTTCTATTGCTGCTGTCACAACAAGTACCATAGGTGGGTGGCTTCAAATAACAATTTATTTTCTATCAGTTCTGGAGGCTTAAAGTCGAATTCAGGGTCTTAGCCCTGTCAGTTCCTTTCTCTGTTGATGCTCGCTTGTCTCTGTGTCTATGCTGCTTTTCATATCACTCATAATTGTTTGTTGTTGTTGTTGTTGTTATGTGCCGTCGAGTGAGCCCCAACTCATAGCGACCCCTCCTTGGGTTGCCGAGGCAGTATCACTACGAAAGGTGATTGCCCAGCCTTCATTCCAAGGAGTGGCTGGTGGGTTTGAACCGCCAGCTTTCTGGTTAGCAGTCAAGTGCCTTAGGCACTATGCTATCAGAGCTCCTCATAATTGTTTAGATGTAGGATACATATTACTCTGATGTACTCTCATTACCATAACAATAAAACCTTATTCCCAAACAGGATAACATCCACAGGTGTAGGGATTAGAATTCCAACACATATTTTAGGAGAGAAACACAATTCAATCCATAACATTGTTTAAGATGTGGAAGTTCATTATTATTTTAAAAGTAAAATAAATGATGAATCCTGGTATAGTCACCTGTCAGGATGATTTTCTGAGCAAGGATGCCTGGAAGACTAGTGCCCTTCAATGTATTTCTTTCTTATTCTCCATGCTCCTTCTAAGTTGGGCATTCAGGCCAACAGTGTCTTCTCACCAACCTTCAAGCTGGGGTGGGGATTCTCACCAGCATGGGCTGTGTGTGTGTGTGTGTGTGTGTGTTTGTGTGTTCTGTAATATGACATGGTGAGGGGGGAGCCCTCACTGCCCAATACTGGTATTCCAGACAGTTTCTGAAACCAGTGTTGCAACATTTTGCGTTAAATATCCCCTTGCATAATTTAAGTTCCTAGACTTGCTATGGTGTATGACTTGTCAAAGTAAAATAGGAACTATGCTAAACACTATTTTCAATCCTGTCCAGTGGAAAAATAATGAGAAAATCAAAGTACATTTTTCACCTTTTATAGCCAATTGCATGTAAAAGCACCATGTTTTATAAAATGACAGCCACTTCAAGCAACTTGAGAAAAATACCCCAAGTATAATTTGTGTTTTCTCATTTCACTTAAATCTTTTGGAATATCCTTCTGTATCTCTCCTGATGAATTTGGGTCTTATTTCATTCAACTTTTCCTCTACAATTATTCAGTATCCTTTCTTAACAATCAGCAGTCCTCTTCCTGACTCAATGAATGATTTTGGGGAAAAACAAGATGTTTAGATTTTTTGTCTTAAAGATTTTTATAGCCACATTGCCTTTCTAATGAAAAGACGGAGGTGAGTTACTTGCTATATGTGTATGTATGTATTATATGATAATACCTGAGAATATTATCAGGTATTTGTTGAGTGATGTATATCAAAATCACAGACGTTCAGAGCTATAGTGTTCATCAGAAAAGCAAGAATTCTCCCCAAAACAGACTCAAGGGACAAATTTGATATCCATACCACCACATCTTGACTTCCACATGCCTCAACTTTGAGAAGACTGAAAACATACAGTAAAACTTGTGACAGCCAGAACTCAACAGGACTGCCTTATTTTTCCATGTCTCGCATGTTTTCCCCCCTTGACCGGATGCAGTCCTACTGCTTTCCTATCACTCATTTAGTTAGTGGAAAATATTTGAGTTTTCCTTCTCCAACAGGCTTCCACTTTACACAGTTTGTGGCTTTCTCAGGTAATACTGTATTTGTCTAATCTGATAAAGAACTGGAAAATTAGTGTGCCAAAATTTAGTTAACAGCCCAAATTCATTTAAAGAAAACAAAACAAGGAAATCCCCAGATGACAAAAATTATTACTCTCTAAGTTTGGTTTTTGTGTCTTCACAGAACTCTCCTAAACTCTTTTGCCCTAAGAACAGAAGCTTTGATATAGATGCTATCTACAGTGTGATAGATGATGCCAAGCAGTTTGTCTTCATAGCTGTCATGGACTATCTGCCTATCTCCAGCACGAGCTCACGAAGGTCAGTGAGTGCCTATACCTCCAGTTAGAACCCAATTTCCAGGTCCAGGTGCTAAACAGTGGACCACAGGAGAAACTAGCCTGGATACTGAGAAACTATAAGGTCTGTGTTAGGAAGACATCAACACACAAATATGTTTGGTGTACAGATGTAGTTTACCCATGGTGCACGTCTTCTATGAGTGGATCCATTTTAAGGACTCAAGGTCTTAGTCTATCAAAGTGCCTCAGCAGTATATATTGTAGACAAGAAAACAAGTTTAGAAAGAAGGTTGAGTTGTTCTCAAATTGAAAAGGTGACTACCAATTTATAATTATTAAATGTTCAGATGTACCTAAAGATGTATAATTGTTAAAATGTTAGTTTAGATATACCTAAAGGGCATTCTGAAACTGAGTAGGTCTTGTAAGATTTCCGTTAAAGGAGAAATTGCTTTGTCCTATTTATGTGAAAACCAAACCAAACCAGCTGCCATGAAGTCAATACTTACTCATGTGACTCACTGTGTGCCAGAGTAGAACTGTGTTCTGTAGAGTTTTCATTGGCTGATTTCTCAGAAGTAGATTGCTAGGCCTTTCCTGCAAGATACTTCTTGGTAGACTTGAACAGTGAAACTTTCAGTTAACAGCTGAGCATGTTAACCATTTGTATCACCCACGGACTTCATTATTCATGTCAGTCTTCATTAAATAATAAATTTTCAAAATCTCTTCTCAACTTAAGGAGACCTATAATAAACAGCCCATTGCCTTTTAGTCCATTCCACAGTCAATCCATCTTTGTGTGAGGAAGAAATAATCTTAAAAATGGAGAGCTCTTTCAATAATTCATCATTGAAAATACTTGAAATACATTTAGGAATGGAATTTATGACAAACTCTTTGGAAAATCATTGCATAAATAAATGTGTGGTCATGCCCCAGGCATTCCTACTTTTGCTTGCTTGCTAGGCATGCAGAGATTTGGGTAGTTATAAATGTTGTGAATAATTAGTTTAACTCAGGAAAGGTTTTCAATGTGCAAATTTCTTGGAGTGCAACCAAGACCTTTTAATTTGGAAAATTACAATTTCAAAACATCCATTTATTGCAGTTAAATGATTAAGTATGCCCTATATTGCTTGAATTGAATTGGTATTGCCATTAGGCAGGAAGCAGGAGCCAGGGCTGATGGCCAGAATAGGTAGAGGGAAGGCCAGGAAGTGAGTGGAGTAGTTAGAACAGCTAAGGGAGATGAACTTGTCTATCAGTTTGTCATACTCTGGTGGCTTGCATGTTGCTGTGAGACTGGAGGTTGTGCCAGCAGGGTTGCCCATGGTGGATGGGTTTCAGTGGAGCTTCCAGACTGGGAAAGACCTGGAAGAAGAAAGAGGCCATCCACTTCTTAAAGAATTGGCTAGAGAAAAACCTTATGAATAGTAGTGAAACACTGTCTAATATATTACAAGACAACTTTATGAATAGCCCTGAAGCATTGTCCAATAAAGTGCTGGAAGATGAGCCCCTCAGATTGGCAGGCACTCAAAATATGATTGGGAAAGAGCTGCCTCATCAGAGTAGAGCTGACCTTAATGATATGGATAAAGTAGAGCTTTTGGGACCTCCATTTGCTGATGTGGCATGATTCTAAATGAGAAGAAACAGCTGCAAACATCCATTTATTCAGATATGAAATGTACAAAGTATGGATTTAGGAAAATTGGAATTTGTCAAAAATGAAATGGAACAAAGAAAGATTGATATCCTAGGCATTAGTGAGCTGAAATGAACTGGTTTTGGCCATTTTGATTCAGACAACCAAATGATTTACTATGGCAGGAATGACAAATTAAAGAGGAATGGCTTAGTGTTCAACGTCACAAAGAATGTTTCAATATCTATCCTTAAATATAATGCTGTCAGTGACAGGATAATATCCACATGCCTACAAGCTTCCAGTTGATACTATTATTCAAATTTACACACCAACCACCAAAGCCAAAGATGAAGAAATTGAAGATTTTTACCAACTTCTGTGTCTGAAATTGACTGAGCATGCAATCAAGATGTGTTGATTATCACTAGTACTTGGAATGTAAAAGTTGGAAAGAAAGAAGGATCACTGGTAGTTGGAAAATTTGGCCTTGGTGATAGAAATAACGCTGAAGATCACATGATAGAATTTTGCAAGACCAACAACTTATTAATTTCAAATACCTTTTTTTCAACAACACAAATGGCAGCTATACACATGGACTTCATCAGATGGAGTACACAGGAATCAGATTGACTACATACATCTGTGGCAAGAGACAATGGAAAAGCTCGATATCTTTGGCCAAAGCAAGGCCAGGAGCAAATTGTGGAACAGACCATTAACTGTTCATATGCAAACTCAAGTTGAAGTTGCAGAAAATTAAAACAGCCCATAAGAGCCAAAATATGACCTTGAATATATCACTCCTGAATTTAGAGACCATCTAAAGAATAGATTTGATGGATTGAACACTAATTACCAACAACCAGAGGAATTGTGGGATGACATCAAGAACATCATCCATGAAGACAGCAAATGGTCATTAAAAAGACGGAAAGGAAGAAAAGACCAAAATGAATGTCTTCTGAAGAGACTCTGAAAATTGTCTTTGAATGAAGAGTAGCTAGAGCAAATGGAAGACATGACAAGATAAAAGAGCTGAACAGAATATTTCAAAGAGCAACTAGAGAAGACAAAGTCAATTATTATGATGAAATGTGCAAAGACATGGAGTTAGAAAGCCAAAAGGGAAGAACAAGCTTGGCATTTCTCAAGCTGAAAGAGCTGAAGAAAAAAATTAAGCCTCCAGTTACAATATTGAATGATTCTATGGACAATATAGGAGCTCTTGTGGTGAAGTGCCTAAAGCATTTGACTGTTAACCAGAAAGTTGGCAATTCAAACTCAACAGCCACTTCTTGGAAGGAAGATTTGGTAATCTGCTTCCTTAGTGATACCACCTTGGAAACCCAAGGAGGGGTTGCTATGAGTCAGATCTGACTGGACAGCAGTGAGTTTGGTTTTATGAGCAATATATTGAATGATGCAGGACACATCAAAGAAGATGGAAGGAATACACAGAGTCACTGTACATCAACAAGAATTGGTTGATGTTCATCCATTTCAGGAGATGGCATATGATCAAGAACCAATGGTACTGAAGGAAGAAATCAAAACTGCACTGAAGGAAGTGGTGAAAAACAAGGCTCTAGGAATTGACAGAAAACCCATTGATATGTTTCAAGAAACAGATGCCACACTGGAGGCACTCACTCAACTTTGCCAAGAAATATGGAAGACAGCTACCTGACCAACTGACTGGAAGACATCCATATTTGTACCCATTCCAAAGAAAGGTGATTCCACCGATTGTGGAAATTATCAAACAATATCATTAACATTACATGAAAGTAAAATCTTACTGAAGATAATTCAAAAACGGTTGCAACAATATATTGACAGAGAACTTCCAGAAATGGAAGCTGGATTTAGAACAGGACGTGGAATGAAGGATATCATTGCTGATGTCAGATGGATCTTGGCTGAAAACAAAAATGCCAGAAAGTTGTTTACTTGTGATTTATTGACTATGCAAAAGCATTTGATTGTGTGGATCATAACAAATTATGGATAACATTGAGAAGAATGAGAATTCCAGAACACTTAATTGTACTCATGAGGAACCTGTACATAGACCAGGAGGCTGTTGTTCAAACAGAATGAGGGGACACTTCATGGTTTAAAATCAAGAAGGGAGTGCATCAGGGTTGTATTCTTTCACCATACCCATTCAATCTGTGTGCTGAGCAAATAATCCAAGAAGCTAGACCAAATGAAGAAGAATGTGGCATCAGGATTAGAGGAAGATGATACACTGACAACATAACTTTGCTTACTGAAAGGGTGGATGACTTGAAGCACTTACTGATGAAGACTGAAGACTCAGTGTGCAGTATGGATTACATCTCCATATAAAGAAAACAAAAATCCTTACAACTGGACCAATAAGCAACATCTCAATAAGTGGATAAAAGATTGAAGTTGTCAAAGACTTCATATTACTTCAGCAACAATGGAAGCAGCAGTCAATATATCAGACAACTTATAGCATTGGGTAAATCTGCTTCAAAAGACCTCTTTAAAGTGCTAAAGAGCAAAGATACCACCTTGAAGACTAAGATGCACCCAACAACAATAAAAAAAAAACCCACTGCCATCAAGTTGGATCTGACTCATAACGACCCCTCCTTGGGTTTCCGAAGTGGTATCACTATGGAAGTAGATTGCCCACCCTTCCTTTCAAAGAGTGGCTGGTGGGTTTGAACCACCAGCCTTCTGGTCAGCAGTCAAATGCCTTAGGCACTACACTACATCACCTCATATGCATGTGAGAGCTGGACAATCAATAAGGAAGACCGAAGAAGAGTTGATGCTTTTGAGTTGTGGTGTTGGTGAAGAATACTGAAAGTACCATGGACTGCTAAAAGAACTAACATATCTGTCCTGGATGAAGTGCAGCCAGAATGCTTCTTGGAAGCCAGAATGTCCAGACTTCGTCTCACCTACTTTGGTCATGTTGTCAGAAGGGACCATTCCCTGGAGAAAGATATCATGCTTGATAAAGTAGAGGGGCAATGAAAAAGCAAAAGACCCTCAATGAGATGAATTGACACAGTGGCTGCAACAGCAGGCTTGGGTACAGCAAGGATCATGGGGCTGGCACAGGACTGGGCAGTGTTTCGTTCTACTATACTAGGGTCACTAAGACTTGGAGATGACTTTATGGCACCTAACAACAGCAATAACATATTGCTTGAATATTTTTATATTTCCAATCCCACATATGCATAATATGCAACTTCTTTATGCTATGAGATTGCAAAATAGAGTGCTTCTCTGAGAAAGAGATCACTCCTGATGACCAAACGAAACCAAACTCACTGCCATTGAGTCAGTTCTGACTCATAGTGACCCCATTGACTTTC